ATAATTCGAGGGAGGTGTTGGACAAAAGCTTCAGGAAACTTTTCCTTCCATGAAGGATTGGCCCAAGCTCTATCTAACCTCTCCCTAATAGTTTGGTTATTCTCTCTCTTACCCACCCAAGTGTATTTTGGACCATGATACCCCAAGTCCAGAAGGTTGCAAGAGTTCATACAATCAATATAGGCTTTAATTCTATACTCAGGCATAGGGTTTCCCCCAAATTTCTTTAATTGAGAAATAATATCATTGAAATCCCCAATGGCCATCCAAGGGCCACTGATATTATCAGAAAATTGGGTCATATTATCCCAGAGTAAACGTCTAATATCAAATTGAGGTCTACCATACACAGTAGATAAAAACCAATGGAAATTAGAGTAAGAAGGATGAGATCTTACCTTGACCATCACATGGATGACTTGACTTCCCCTATAAAGGATGTCGATGGTGAAGCGAGTGTCATCCCAAAGTAACCAGATACCACCAGCAAATCCATCAGCTTCCATAATCTCCCATCTAGGAAAACCAAGAGTTTGAGCAATTTCATGGGATCTAGCTTCACCCAACTTCGTTTCCATAACCACAAAGATACCTGGATTGTGTTCCCTTATGATCTCCATCACCATTCATTTGAAAAGCCACTCCGCGGCAATTCCATGAAATCACCTTCATTGACCACACTGAATTACTGAAAGAATTCATGACCCATCTGCCTAGTACTTGGTTCCACTGGATAGTGCCCATTCGTTGATTCTTGATCAACATGTTGACATCTGGAAAGTAATACAGGAGTAGGGTTTGAATATAACGAGCCCTCATTGAGCATTGTACTTCCTCCCGTCAGAGTACTAGATGGACCGTCTTCATGCATCCTAACATGGAGATTTTGTTCAGGAATGGACTAAGGTGGGGGACGGTGGTGATCTGTGGCGAAATCTGTTCTTCCCAAACATCCCATCCTAGAAAGTCCTATTCCGGTCCCCATATGGCCCTCGAGGTGATGCACATGTTCGGTGCCTGGAGTTGGGGAGGGAGAGGGATCCAGTTTGTTGGCGGAGGCAGATGCGAAATGGGGTCTACATCCTTCGGAATAACAATTGGACTGACCCACTTCCTTGCTATAGTATCCAGATCCCACCCTTCGATTGGAGGGGTTTCCTTTTGCAGTAACATTGATAAAGCCTTCTCCAATGGGATGATCTTGTCCTTGTTGACCAGTAGGATGTCCCACACATGACTGAGTTTCTGGAATGAACTCGGATCCATGACCCACACTTCTATTGGAGGGCGAAGACTCAAGTTGTAACTCTTGGCCATTGTGCGAGGATTTTAGTTGACTAAAGGGACTTTTTAAGCTTTCCTTTCCATGTGTCTTTCTAGAGTGTGACGTAATCTTATTTGGGGCCAAAATCTTATCTGTTCGTGATATTTGCTTATCCTGCAAAACCAAATTAGGAGAGTCAGTGTGGGCTGAATCAACAAATCCAACATTTACCTAAGTCACATTGTGGGCCAACCCAAGTTTTTGAAGAGGGTTTCCATTTTGATTTAGCTCTGTAGAGCCGTTGTTGTGAACATCTATTTCATTAAATGCTCCAGTACACGAATCGTTGGGTTTAGTTCCCACCTGTCTTTGCTCGTTCCGAGTTGAACTGGGTTCACTCACTGAGTTACGATTTTGAGGCATGCTCTGCTTCTCATGTTGCATTTTGGTTTAGGGGATTCTACCATTTGATTTCTTTCTATTCTTCTTCCTTTCAACAACCATCTGTGGTCCAAAGGAATTTTGATCATTGGAGACTGAATCAGTATTGTCGTTATTCATACTTGAGTCCATATTAGTCTCCTTATCAGTATCCATTTCGGCAGGAACAAGAGGAACTTTTAATGGACAATTACTCTCTCTATGCCCAACGCATCCACAAGAAAAACACAGCGAGACAGGTCCTTCATAAACAACTTTTTGGATATGATTGCCTATCCTGATACATGGTATTAGCAGTTCATCTAAATCCACTTGGATACAAATTCTAGCATACTGACCCCTACTTTGGTGAGCCATATGCGTATCGATTCTCAATGGAGTACCTAGTAGATTTCCAATCCTTTCTAGAATTTGCCTGTCGTAAAATTCAATGGGGAGCCGAGGAAGTCTCGCCCAAATCGCCGTTGTGGTGAACGCTGCTTTCTTTGGGTTGAAGGAAGGTTCCCACTGTCGGATTGTGAGATAATATGGTCCTACAAACCAAGGACCTCCATGTAGGACCCTCGCCAAATCCTCTCGTTCCTAAAACCGAATAAGAAAGAAATCCAAGCCAAGATCTATGCAGTCCAATCGACCCTTTGGCTTCCATTGAGCTTTAATTCTTGGGTACACAAAGTTATAACCAGCTCTGTCCGTCCCAAAAGCTTTGATTATTATAGAATTGACCCAGGGTGCTCGAATTCTCTTTTTCTCCTCCTTCGAGATGAGGATAGTGGGCATGGTACCATCATCTTCTTCATCTGATTCTTCTTCGAGGTAGCTGGGATTCGTAGACGTGTCGCAGCTGATCTCAATCGGCTCGTTTCGCATCACCAAATCTTTGTACGAGATTGGCTGGGTAGGCTCCTCTATCATTTGGAAATCTTCTGCAATTGGGGGGTGATCATCCCCTTTAACTCGCTTTACAGAGCGACTCAGAAGATC